TCTCGCTTGGCTCTCTTGGTCGTCCTAGACAAACAGAAACGAAAAGTTCCTTTGCAGTCGCAGCCCTTCCTCCCCAGTCGCTGGCAGTGCCCCGCTCCCTGGCTGTGGCCTTTGTAGAAAGTTTAGTGTCAAATGGATAAATTTGATTATGATTCTTAGTTGGGTTATGGTAATCGAGTTGGAAATACTTCAAAGTTTCGTTGATGGCGGCACGGCTCCTCCGCGCTTTAAAGTCTGCGCTCATTTACGCATTCAAAAGGGTTTTCAGCTTTCAAGAGCAAATTAATTGCTCGACAAATTGAATTCTCAGCAGAAATTAAAAGCAGGGTTCTGCTATTTATAAAAGATATCATAAGGTATGTATTAAATCGCATTCAGCAGAGATTTTAAGGTCCCGTTCTCACAGTAATCCTATAGTTCTATAATATTCTACCGTAAATCAAAAGCCCAAACATCTTAACATGCAACAATGTTGAAATGACAAACGTTACGACGGAAAATATTACCCATATAAATGCATTATTGATAATGTTACCCATAAACCAATCACAATGGACGGCTATCTGAGTGAGTGTAGAATATTTATGCATATTAATTGGGCTGGCGCCTATTTAACGAATGGACATGGACATGGCCATAGCTCTGGCTATTATGCATATTTGTAAACACTTCAATCAATTAGTTTTAGGGCCGACTCTAAATGTAGTTTTTCGATGTCCGCATAAACCGACCACAAAATAACCAAATAACTTGAACAAATTGTTCGCATTAGATTTGGAAATAATGTGCATTATGCAGGCAACAAAAAATGCAATCTAAATTAAATGTGAAATGCGCAAGCGGGCAACATAAGAGGAACAATAGAATATGCATGTCTGTGTGTGTGTGTGTGTTCGGCTAATGAAGGTGGCAATTCACACAGTGCGACACATTCACACCTGCAATTAGCTACTCCCTGCCCATGGGAGGGGCGTGGTCGCTGTCAGTCAACCAGCTGGAGTTGCACTCGCAGTTGCAGTTGCAGTTGCAGTAAAATGCAGTCCAAAATGTAATATTTAACGTCATTTTATGCAAATTGAAATTATGTTAATGGGCAACCAAACAGCAGCAGTGGCAGCAGCAGCGGCAGCATCAACGACAACAAGAACAACCTTGGCAAATATTATGCGAAAAGTGAAGCATTAAGCAGGCAGACTGCTGCCAAACAATGCCGATTGTTGACTCTATTTACATGTCACATACATATTATGCAGAGAAAGGGAAAGAAGCAGATCGAACAAGAGTGGCACTGAGAGAGAGAGAGAGAGAGAGACAGAGAGAGAGAGAGAGAGAGAGAGAGATAAAGAAAGAGAGAGGGAGTACTTGTGTGGGGGAGCTGGCAGCATGAAGAAATTGTACATGTCTTCGGCGGCAATTGAATTGAAAGTCAGTCACCCATTCAGTCTGGGCTCCATTCATCCATCGACTCATTCATTCAATCTCGTTCATTTCGAATTCAGTTCGCAATTCGCTTAAAGCATTTTGCATGTTTAACCGCCGCTCGGCTTCTGTTTTCTGTCATATTAATAATAATGAATGCCTGCAACTGCAACAGGAGCAGCAACGGCAACAGCATCTGTAACTGGCAACTGCCAACAGGCAAGCTTTGCTTCATTTGCATTTGCATAATAATCATAATAATGTACAATACCATCGCTTCAATGCTGCAGTAGCAGCACCACCAAACCCAAAAACCGATAGCTGCCAGCAATTGTAATGAGCATATAAGCTCATTCCGTTGCATGCCACTGCGTGTGGCATTTATCGTGATGACTGTGCGAGAGATCGAGCCTGACGAGCCGATAATCTGTCGCTGCAAGGGACTAGGCCACACAGCTAAACTAGGCAGGACGGTTTATTTTCTTGAGTTGTCAATTTTACATATGTCTGCTTATCCAATAGCTATTACTCTCTGTCTATTACTCGCTCCCTCGCTCTATTGCCTTTTTCTTTCGCTCTCTCTCTCTCTCTCTCTCTCTCTCTCTCTCTCTCTCTCTCTCT